ATATTTTAAAACTGTCAGTAAAAACTAGCTCTTCTATTGAGGTGATACAAACACAGACATTTCGGATTAGATGTCTTAAAATCTAGCTGTCCAATACCACTTTCTGGGTTCATCCTCTTATCCCTACGCTGACCAAAGGGGATCAGTAAGAAGACAACCTGCAGAAGGTCAGACGAGTGAACAAGGAGAACAGGCTGAAGAGGAAAACGGCAAGTAGGACAACTGACAAGAAAGCCTGAATTACACAATTTGAGGACAAGCATGCAAACTTTGACAACGTATGTTGTGTCAGTTAGTCAAGCAGCCACCTACAGAGCTAGGTCAAACTCCAGAAACTTACAGGGCCAACCATATGACTCAAAAATACCCCCAAAAGCATGGCATGCTTCACAGGATTAAGAGGGGAAGTAATTAGCTTGTATGTTTACTTTGGGCAACTACTTCATCTGACCTGGGTAACTTGACAGATCTGTTTATTAGTGCAATTTATGACAGCTATCAGGATTTGAATGATGCTTTTTTCTGTAATTTAAACATCTAAAGTAAGTCAGACAGAGTCTTGATCCCTATTTTACCATTTGGGAATACTGTCCTGTGACAAATGAGTATTTGAACCTGGCTTAGAAAAAGGTTACACATCCACTGTGGAAATTAAATCCCATTCTCTCAAAATTAAGTTAAAGATTTGAGGGTTTCTACACTGCCTTACCTGAGAAAAACAATTATTTTTTAAAGCTTCTAGTGTAATCAAAACCTTTTTTTAACTGGTTTTCATATGTCACAAAAGTAGGAAAAACAATAGGACAATAAGGGTTTTTCCAGCCTGAAATCTCAGCCAGATTACTCAAAAGTACGCTTCAGCAACAGCAAAGCCCACAAGACCTGCCTGCAGCAACAGCAAAGGTAAATATCTGGCAGCTGGGCCAGTTCAAACGGGAGATGAGGACAGGTGTGAACAGGAACAACCCCAATGGACGCACACAAGGAAATCTCACTCGATTTCCTGTTCTCTCCCACAGGCAGCCCCTTCCTGCCTCGCTCACGATGATTTGAGCTTGGGAGTGGAAACTACCACCACTGCTCGGGACCTCTCTTCCTGTCCTCTAACTCCCTAGGGTGCTGCGTCCTGCTGCCCGCACTGCTCCCCTGCGCACAGCCTCTTCCCGCTTCCGCGGCCGGGAGCCATCCCCTTTCCGATACAACAAACAGCAAATCTGTACGCCAAAAAAAGTCCGTCTCCACCTCCCTCTGAAAGAGGTAATTATGCTCATGCCTTGTGAGCAGCAACACACTCGCCCTACCCTGCATCCCAGGCTGCTCGCTGCACGTGTGGGAAGGACGAAGAGTTTCCCCTGTGATAGGGAGGGGAGGAAGCAGATAAGGGCAGCCCTGCAAAGCGCAGCACGCTGCTTTGAGGAGATGGGAGGAGGGACAAGCTCCTGCAAAGAGCTGCCATTTGACCCTCACAAAGTTACTGCTTCTGCCATCGTAATCAGTGGCCACTCTCTAGGGTTTCATAGGAAGCAGTGGGAGAGGTATCAGCTGTGCTGCAGCATGATCTTCTCAAACAGGTGGTCCTTATCTCCTACAGGGACAGGCACAGGAGGAACAGACATCTGAGCCATGACTTTGCAATTCAGTAGGGCTACTTGCCTTTCCCTGTCCATCTACTTTTGGAAAAACCTGCCACCTTTCCATGTGCCCAAAGCTGGCTCCGTAACATTAAGAGCCCACATAACAGCACCCACAACTTAATGAAAACATCTCACTTCTGATCCTAGGTATACCTACAATTTGCTTTCAAACCCGACTAGTTTGGTCCACAATAGATTTGTTTTGCGAATGTTTTTTTTTTTCCCAGCCATCCCTATATTTGTCTTTCTGTATTGGCAGGATTGGGCTAACACCCACTACAAGTGTAATAGCACAGTATGGAAGTGTGATGTTTCTTTCAAAATCACCTAGTATGCAGTATAACATGCTAGCAGCCCATTTGGGTATTTTCTTTCTTGTAAAGATGCCATGGGACATGCAATTCAAACAAGCATGAAATTAAGCAGTTTCTTCCACTCTCCCAATCTGACTGTTGTCCTCACGTGAAGGTGCATTTCAGTGAGGCAGGCTGCTCATTTTGTCACAACTTACACCAAAGAGAAAAGACATGTGAAGGATACAGTTTCTGTTCTTTTGTTGTTGTTGTTTGTTTAAGAAAAGGATTGTACTGTTAGTCAAAACTGGAACTGAAATAGCAGGGTTAGTTAAATTATGCACTATATTAAATTATAAAATACTTAAGATACTTCAATACCAGACTTTTTTATCTATATGCATACTCTAATATAACCTGTGTCAAAATTAACTATCAAGAGCTTGTTATACTCTATCCAAAAAATTGTTGCTCTTCAGCAAGTACATCTTCTATGTCTGACTTTATTTACCTGAATTTTACATGAGTGCAAAACTCTTCTATTAAAACTGACCACCTTCTTCAGGAATGAAAGCTGTTAAGTTTTGTACAACATTTAGAAATGTAAAAATCACACTACTCCTTTCAATGCTTAAAAGCAAAATACTGAGTAACAGAAGCAGTACTAGTAAATATATGCCAGATACTAACTTGATAAAAATATTTTACTTTCACATAATCATCCATAATCTGTATTAACTTGCATTAATCTCACTCATCTCAGCTACTATAATACTTCCTTTTCCAGAGTTAGTGTTGCTGAAATACTGTGGCTCAGATGATTAAGCGTTTGGACTGTTGATTTATTTAAAAACGCGATTCAGTGATCTGCCAGACGACAGGTTCCCCTGTCTGTGATGTTGCCAAAGTAAGCAAAGTTCTTTCAGTGATTTAAAATTCCTTGGCAGCACAGCATCCCAACACAGTCTCAGAGTTCTTCAAAGAAGTTTGAAACTGAAGCTGACAGGACCACAAAATGAGAACAGTCTTGATTTCAAGAGAGCATTTGGTAGCAGAGACACAAGCCCATTATGGGAAAACTAGGACTTTCTCCACACCCCTGAGTAAGCGGTAAGGAATAGCAAATGCTCTTAATGCTGCTCGAAACATATTTCTCTCACAGGTAAAACAACAGGGCTTAGTACTTAACTAGAATACTCATCTAACCACCCAGGGACAAGAGTCACTGCAGGGGAAAGAGAATAAAGACTCTCCTACAAATACAACTAAGAAAGCAGTGATTTCTTCCTTCAAGGGAAACAATCCTCCCCTGATCCGCGTGGCATGTCCCAAGACTTAGGGAAGGTGCACAAGAAGATATTAGGATTGAGTGGACGGGACAGACTAGCTCTGAAGGCTGATGTCCAGCACAACCAAAGGAACCCATGCATGTTTTTGAGGCATGCTCTGTCCATTGCTTATTGAACAAAGCTTCGTTGTGAAGAGCTTGTAAAACCGCACTAACTGAGAAGTCCTGCAGTAAAAGCTTTTTGACTTCTTAGTGGCAAAAATTGTTGGGAGATGCTCAATACCATGGCAATATGGCCTGGTCAGCCTCTAAACCTTTGAGTATAGGAAAATGGAACAAAAAGGTTATTTTGGCTGATACAGCATTTGGGTTTTAAAAACACACACTGGGAGATACGTAACTTGAGAGTTTTTCTAAGCTGTGAATTGCTATGTATGTAAAGCCCATCCTCAGGACAGTCTGGAACACAGCCAAAGCAGCTTCTGCAATAGGTCAACTGTAATTTACTGACTAGTTACTATAACCTGTTCAGGACAACACAGGATTTTACTAGGCAGTGTTTATAAATTCGTGAGGAAATGTCATCTCTGCTAATACAGAAACTTCTCTTTCTTGCTAAAGGAACAAGTAACATCTCACTGTTCATAGCTCGTTTAGCCATATAGCTGTATCAGACCTACCCAATAGACAGTCTTGTAGCATATATGCAAAGCTGATTCATTAACCACAATTTTTAAACCCTAATACAAATGGATTTTGCAAAGTGATTTGGATTAACCAAGTCTGGCTGTGCTTCCATCTGGAAGTTATATTTTATAATGCTAGCCACATCTTGAAAAACAGATTCAGATGTTTGGAACAAATTCAGAACAGTTGTAAGAAATTCTAGGTACAAATGAAAAAAGAAAAAAAAATAAAATTGAGCTTTAATGTCTTTTTCCTCTCAGATTTCTTTCAAGTAAGCATTTATAATCATGGTGTTTAGGGAGTTGAGGGGTAAGGAATGAATCTGTATTATTATCTATGACGTATTTACTCATGTGTAACGGCAGTTTGTTCTTTCCCATACTGCTCTGTAGCATTTTAAGCCTATCCTGATAAAGGGACACGATACTGAGTGAGAACAGGTAAGAAAGAGGCTTGAAGCACCTGACCTGGTTTATCCACAAAGAGTTCCTGCTAGGAAAACTGTCTTTACATAAAACAGCAAAATTAATATAATTCCTGCAGTACTGATAAATCAATGTTCAAATAAAAATGCCTTTTGAACAGCAGAGCTTTTAGCCCATGGGTTGTGTCAGTATAAAATAAGTGTCTGTAAGGGTTGTACAACTTGTAACAATGTGAAGTACCTAACTTAGTACTTTATTTAGAGAAAAGTATCAGCAAACCTTTCTACTCTGAGCCTTCATCTCTAGATTTGGTCAAACATAAATTAATGTTGAAGCAATTTAATTTCTCAGTACACAAACCACACACCAAGACAGATGAGCATTAGCAGAGAGTTAGTTTAGAAGTCTTAACATATCCAGAAAATTTTATGCCTTGAGAGAAAAATTAACCTTCTGCCTTTCCAGCTTGTTTAAAAAAACTGCAAAGCCATAAACAGGAAAGCCAAACAAGAGAAGTGTGCCCAAGTTCCTCAAAAACATGATGTTGTGGATGGTAGAAGGCAAATGACAAAACAAGATTTCCTCTCCACCCACACCATTTAGCACAGATGCTCTAGAAATCCCACAAACACAACATTTTTTTCTGATCACGTATAGAAGTTTCCTGACTTACCTTGTCTTTTTGCTGGTCTTGGATTTTGGCGTGGTATTTTTTGCTTTCTTTTCCTTTGGCTCTTTTGGGGTCTTAGGGACTTTGGGGGTCTTGGGTTCCTTCTTTTCCTTGGGTTCTTTAGGATCCTTCGGTTCTTTTTTTGTCTTGGGCTTTTTCTTTTTCTTCTTCTCTTCTTGGGAGCAATCCACTGAGTTTCTGCTTAGATTCTGGCTGTCAGGTCCCCCAGGGAAGTCTTCCTTACCAAAACCTTTACTGGGACCTTCTGCAGCAATGTGATTGTTTTTCTTTTTCTTTTTCTTTTGCTGTGGCTGCGGCTCAATTGCTGGCAGATAATCATCGCTTTTCACTAGCTGGGTATTCGGTCCACTAACCTGAGTCATATCCGGCACTGGTTTCTCTAAAAAGGGTTCTGATGGAGAATGCTGGGAGAGACAAACAGAAAGAGAATTGGAGATTTGCAACTTTGATTTCTACAACTTTACTCTTTTGGAGCAAGGGGTTACAGAGGGAGAAAATACTAAGCAAAAGGTTAACCCTGAAACACTGTACAGCAAAAACAGTAAAACCCAAAGCTTTCTGCAGTTAAAACATGCAAATTGACCAGAAATTCTTGATATAGCAAGGGTAAAACCATTTCAAAGCTTCTATGTAAACTGAAAGCATAGAAAATATTTAGTCTTCCACATTTTGATGCAAAAGGAAAGCAATTGTTATTTCAGATATCTCAAAAATAGTTGTTAGTAGAATGAACAACTTGTTACAAATTATTCTGTTGCACTGAAATTTTGTCTTCTGGGAAGAAGAAAATGTTAGAAGTGTGTTTCTAGACATGCAAAGGAAAATACAGTATATTCACAGGCTGTATTTATAAAAAATTAATCAAGGCAATTTACATTGGTACAGCTGTGACAGGAGGTATTTTGAATCAGCATGTGAAGGATTAAGCCACTTTAAAATGTAATACAATGCAACATTTTATGTCAAAGATCCACAGCTCCCTACTTGTAATTGAAACAGGTTTGTTCCTGCTAAAAATTGGACAGAGAATTACCTTAAGTGTTTGTGAACCTGAAAAAACAGCCTATTTCGAAGTTTGTACAGTGTATCAGGATTACACCAGATTTGCAAAGTACATGAAAACCTATGTACAATTACACAAATGTCAAGTGCCTGGACCAAACATATTGGTTATATTTGCAACTTTTTTCTTCTTAATAGTTCTGTTCTACACAAAGATCCATGAGTCTAAAACGAGAAAAGGTCTAAGCTCTACCATGACTATGCAGCATATCGAGCTCTAACCTGCTTTTCCTCTCTGCCTGCCTGTGGTTATAAATGCAACATGACTGTGCTTTTCAATAAGAAAAGTAATAGCATGACACTGTACTGCTGCTTTTCTTACAACCACATATATGGTCAAACCATCTTCCACACCCTCTCTCTGTTTCTCCTCCTCTCTTCCCTGAAAATTAAGCTAGGATGATTCTAGGTGGAAAAGTTCCCCATTAACCATGGTTATGAAGTTCAAGGTGTTTGATCCATTGAACTGGAGAGAAGAAAGGTTTAGAGCAAATCAGAATGTTACTTCTAGGAGTAACATTATACACACTTAAGACAGGCACTACTATTGACATTTCCTCTTCTCTGCTTTTTATTCAAACTGCACTTACTTCGGAGTGTGGCAGGCATGCAACCGAGTGACTACAAACCCAGCCCCTGAGCATAAGGGGAACTGATGGGCATACACAGACATACACTTTAGCCACCTGGATCTAAAATCACCTTAAGATTTAGGAAATAAAATTCTTAATATTATGACATGAGAAAGTGAATGCATGTGTATTTTTCTAAATCTATTAATACAGTTTTCTGAACATAAACAAACTGAACCAGTGCAGTTCTATTTTCTGCATTTCTTTACAGTAGCAAAACCCCCGCTCTACCTGAATAAACTCACATACTCAGCAGCTACCAAAGCAGCAGCAGAAGCAAGGTTGTAAAGAAAAAGACAACTCTTTATTGCTCTTCGGGAGAGGCTTGAATGGTACAAGCAAGAAATTATGGTTCTTCAGGGAAAAGACTCCATGACAGTCTACTCGGCTTAACCAAGAACTTCCAGGGTGACTTCTGCATGTTTCTGTTCTCCACCTGTTTAAGGTATTTTTTAGTGCAACAGGGTCTTAGCTGTAGTGAAAACTCAGCTCTAGCGCAAACCTGAGCACCCATTGCGTTAGCACCACATCAATCAACTCCAACTCAAGGCAGTCTCATGTTAATCATCCTGAAGTAGGAACCAACACCTCTACTAGAAATCTCTAGTCACCGTAACACGTATCTTCACGCTGGGAAGTTCACAAAGACTGTGGGTATCTGTATAGAAATCACTGATCCCAGGAAGTCAGTGGCGCCAGTGAGTTCCGTAGCCCAATTATGCATTACATAGAAGTAAAAACCTTCTCCTTGATTTTGAATTTTGGTTGTCTCCTCAGATTTGTTCTGTGACACAGAACTAAGCTGTCTTCTCCGTACCTCAGACTACTACGTACTTGTACTAACACTTAATTTTAGGTAGAAAAAGACAGGAAATATTACACGGGTCACCTGGAAGTACTACTTATCCACAGATTTTCAGAGCAGTACTTTTAACCTACATTTCAGGCAGTCAATATATTTCTATATTATCTCCTATTTCATATCTCACGCATCCCACATTTTTTAGAGACCTTAAGTGCAAGTTTCATCAATGCCTTCACTGCGCTGTCCACCACAATACTCTTTAAATGCTGTTCACTTGCTGTGGCTAACATCAGAAATCTAAGTTTTTCTTTCTATGATTTGTCAGATTTGTACTGAACAAGTGCCTTGTGTTTGGCACTACGGTATTTGCTTGCCGTATTAAGAGAGACTTTTACAACTACCTAAAAGCTTATAAGGCACAATCTTCTAGAACAAATCAGAACTGGTAGTTTATTTTTCTTCCTCTTACGCATGTGAAACAGCCAAGCCAACAAACACTAAAACCCACAAGAAATCCAGTAATGCCATGTAAATTTAATTCAATGAAATTTTCAAGGTTGCACCTTCAGTTAGTGATACAACTGCGCCTCTGAAATCACTATGGAGTTTTATACATGCTTGAGTATATCTTATTACATTTTTAATCCAATTAAAATAAATAAATAAATAAATCAATCCTTGTTTCCTTTCTAACACTTGTGGAGGTTTTTGGTTGGTTGAGAAATCTCAACAACAACTTTGAGCACAGTCAAAAGGCAGACAGCCTTCCAAGCCTCCACAACAGCAATGTCAGCCCTTCATGATCTGACATCTGTAGTTTTAATGTAAGGTGTGGCCAGAGGTAAAGCACTGAGAATGGCAGCAATTGTTGTCACACTATAGTACCCAGTCTCTGGAAGATGTCATCCTATGAAAATTCAGATTCTTACTATCTCAAAAAGCTTAGCCACAAGAGTCATTCTCGTGCTCTGAAACAACTTAGACTATGTATTACACTTAAACCTTATGCATGAAACAAATATTAAAAAAAACAAAAACCAAACGAAACTTTACATTTATTGACAGTACCGAGTTACGGGCATTACCAAACATACAAATTAAAATACTATGGTTTTGTTTCATATCATTCACAGTCCCTGAAACATTACGCCACAAAAGACAGCTGTGCCCCAATTAGGCTTTGGTTATATTTCCTTTTTCTTGAAAATACATTACTTTTGCCACATGCCATTCCCGTTACAGTTTGGCACATTTTGCAATTCGCTTATATGTGATCTTTTAAATTGTAGCACTCTTTCAAAGAAATGGATCTGATTAACTTTATTTTTCTAGGAAGTCTGTGCCTACACTTTTGCAATATGCTAAAACGGTTTATCCCTAACTGACAACCCCACATTGCTCCCTAGTGTGAAGCTGTGTAGGAGCAGCACAAATCTAGTGAAAAGAGGAGATCGAAAGCAGCTTGAAAGATGCATTTTCTTACCCAAACCAGTTGTCTGCTCTTCCTTAAGAAGGGAGAAAAGGAAGAACGGGCTTTCACTAGTAAATATTAGATGAAGCCTACCACAGGGAATTATTGCAAATAGTTCTACTTCTTTACATCGACAAAGGATTAACTCTAGTTACAGGGTCACAATTTCTAATGGAAGACCCCCATTTTCCATTTATGAAATTAAAAAAAAAAAACCCCAAAAAAAAAAGAACAAAACACAACAATTTGTATATTACACATTTTTACCAAAAAAGTGAAAAATATATCTGCATACTTCACAGAAACCACTTCTCCTGCTGCATTTCGTAATAACAAAGCTATAATTTAGTATGTCGGTATAGAATTTAACCTTCCACAGGGAAGAAACCAGTGAAGATTAAACACAAATAGGTATTCATCCTGTTTGAAACTGAAGCAGAATTATTTTTGGTATTATTTGAAATAAGGTGAAAAAGGTGCTCAAAAATACTGGTGTGTTTACTAGACCCACATCTCTTTAAATCTTTTGGAGAAAAGCTGTTTTTGTAAACATTTAACAAAGAACAGATGGCCTGTTTTAATCATGCGAAAAAACCTGAGGCTCACATTAATACTCCTACCACCGACTACTGGGGCTCGGCACCTCCCTAACCAGCAGCATGGTACAGTCTTCACTGATACCATTTCATTTTACAATGGGCATTTGCTCATCAATTCCCACTACTTGACAGTTAATCAATGCTATTAACAGGCAATATCACAGTGCAGGACACTCCTAAAGATCGCAGCTTATTACAGCAAAACAGAGATTCTTCTGGAACTCTGAGGAGTTAAAATAATTTGCAGCTCAACAGGTTACCCAAGAGGAAAATGTGCTTTTGCATTATCAATAAAAGCCAACAAATGAAAACCTTATTTGAGAAACTGCTTATGGAATGTAAAAATCTCACTTTCCCAGAATTCAAACTTCTTTTTAAACTTCCAGACATGTTATCACCAAGATTTGAAAAACTAAAAGTGAGGCTGCCTGTGTTTCACAGCTGCTTATACATTTAGAGCCAAGCTCATTCCCTGCAGCCCAAAGCACAGAAAGATGTCTCAAACCAGGCCTGTTACGTGAAGTGGCAAGACGGACAGCATGTAGGATTAATCCAGCCAGGACTGAACCACAATCAACTGTACTTAAGCACTGAAAGTAGCTGAGTATCGCTTCCTTAGCAGAGCAGCGACTTGAGCCAATATTGAGCTTTAAGAAGAATGAAGCAAGAGCAGCAAAGTATGCAATGTGACTCAGCTAACTTCATGAAATTTAAACATCGGCACCAAACAAACAGAAAAGCTCCTTTTTACCAGGACTACTTTCATTTTCCCCTCCAGACACCCGGGTCTTTTCCATATTCTAAAGAAAGATCTACTGTAACCACACTTCATTAA